CCAATAAATACTGTGGGAAAATATGTGGAAGACATGACGCTAGACAGACGATAAGGGGAAAATACCTCTCAAGGGGAAGGACGCGAACAGTCCTTTCAGTAAGTGTAGCAGCCTTACGCCAGAGGGAGCATTTAAACAGAGCAACAGCAGCTATGTGCTGTTCCTATAGCTACCCCCACACCTGTATTATGACAATGTCTGTCTTCCTGTCTGTTCCAAGCTGGAGGCCACACGCTTAAGGGGAGTAGCATTACCCAAATTTAGTGGACTGAAATAGTATGGGGTATGGGATGAACATGGGCTGGTTGGGGTCGCAAGAATTCGATAGGAAATAAGTGTGTCATATTCCGACCCCCCACCACGATTTTTCACACTGCCCGCACGTTGCACAACTAAATATTTCGAAAACTTTTTTCTTATAGTAATATTCACCATTATTCATTGATCTTGAGAAAAGTAACATAAATTTCCTGTTGTCAATAATTTGCCCGTATTCACATAAAACAAACGATTCTTCCACACCGCGTTCAAGCCACGACCGTTTATGAGAGTTGGGAATACCTATTCTATTTTTTATTACTTCACCCCACTAGGCTCCTCATTTGCGACAACCCACACATTGCGCAATTATATACTAATAAGCGAGACAGACACAGACAAAGGCAGAGACAGACCGACACGGAGACAGATACACAGAGAAAGACACAAACAGACACAGGGACAGAGAAAGAGACACAACATAGACATACAAACATAGTACAGACAGATAGCAGATAGATGGATAGTGATGGATCGACGATTAAATAGAGGAATGGATACAGGGATGGATAGATGAATAGATATATTGATAGGAAGATGAGTAGGTTGGTGGATATATGGATGGATAGAATGGTAGATGGATAAATGAATATATGGATAGAGGGGACAGATAGATTAAAGGATAGATGGATGGATGTATAGATTAATAAATAAATGGATAGATAGATAGATTGGTAGATGAATAAAAGGATGGATGGATAGATAGACGAATAGATATAGATGAGTGAAAGGGATGTAAGGAACACTTTCATTAGTGCTAGTGCAGTGAGGAGGGGGGGGGTGAAAGGAACATAATTTAGGCACAGGTGAAATTTTTTTAATTTTTGAGAAAGAATAGAGAGGGGCCCAGGAGGTCAAGCTCGTTTCCTACCAACACAGCTAGTTCAGCACACATAATGTAGTTGATTACACAAGCTGGTAATGCTGGTCTCGTTGACAAACAGGAGAGCTTGTAGAGTACCTGAGCTCTGGTACTCCACAAGTTCTCCACCTGGAGGGAAGGCCCCTGGCGGCCAACCATATCTTAACTGAGCCAAGTACCTTAACCTGCATGGTGATATCATTTTAACTTATATGGAGGCAATGCAACTTAAAATTTCTACCACATCTGTCCTCTTGAAGAGGCTCATAAAACAGGTAATATATTTAAGAAATTTTTCTCGACTTTCTCATCACGAAATATTACTCGAAATTTTTTTAAAAGCGTTTTTCACCAAGTAAATCTGGAGCAGTGGGAACGATACCCCGTTAATTAATTCAAGTCGTATCAATCATTCAGCGTGAGCGGAGATGTAATGGAAAAGCGGCCAGCAGACAAGATCTGGGCCCAGCATCCCATCTCAGCAGCGTGGACAGGGCGGAGGGGAGGACAATTTAGTGGGCGGGTATGTAAATTAATCTCCAGCAGTTGTCGCCCGGTGCTCGTCAAGGCCGGCCCCGGAGAACAACAACAACACTGGCTCACTACACCACAGCTATTCTACACACACACACAGATTTGTGTGATGTTTACTTCTTGTGTGAGCGTTCTTCACACTTCTCGTTCTCCACCTTCTCTTTCTCCTCCACTTCGACCTTCTTTCTCCTCCTCCACTTCATCCTGTGTCAATTCGTGTTTTCTCTGGTGGACATACTTCGTAGGTATGGCAGGCGATCACAGAGCTGGCGATCACAGAGCTGGCGATCACAGAGCTGGCGATCACAGAGCTGTCGATCAAGGAACTAGCGAGCGCTGAGCAGGCTTGACAGAACAATGAGAACAATGACTTCTGAGATGCTGATGATATTGAGGACAATAGTCAAAATTGCGACTGAGTTGGAAGGCAAAGAAAATAAAAGATGATTTCGGAAATAGGGATTCTATTTTTCAACTATATTTACATGAAACTATTTCTGAAAAGATTTCGAGAAAAAATAGGATCAGCATTTTTAGGATCGCATACACAGGGAAACCAAGAGTGTAATTGAACAAAAGTCGCCTGTCAAGTATGGCCGAGGAAGTTCAGCATTACACAGTCATGTGAAGGAAAGCGATCATCAAATTCTACTGCAAGATTCAACAATAATTTACTCTTACAAGCGTGACCAAGATAAGATCTGCTTGTGTTAACAATAAGCGAAAGTTATAATAGAAAAGTCAATACTAGATTTGGCAAGAGATTATGTAAGAGAAAAATTACAACCCTTCGCTTGTCTTCTATTAGTACACCTGGTCAAACAATACATTAATGTAGCTTCTTTAATATTACATAAATATTAATTAACTGTATAAGAAGGCCTTTCTTCATACCGAGAGATTTAGTTTATATATCTAGAGATATTTTTATAAAGCTGATTTATTTGTAGTTCTCTCGTGCACTAAAGCACCTTATTCTCATAAGCATAGTATAAGAAAAGTAAGTTTGGTGGTGGCCCAGGACGGAAGTGTGGTGGGGACGGGGAAGCAAATATGACTTGAGACGGGAAAATGTGGGGCCCAAGGCGTCGTGTGAGACAGTAGGGAGGTGGTGGTGGTCCACGGTATGGCGCTCAATACATAGCAATTCTGCTCTGATTTACGGGTTATCGATGTCATCGAGATCGGTGGTGTTTTCTCTCTCTGTCTCTCTCTGTCTCTCTCTGTCTCTGTCTCTCTCTCTCTCGCTCTCTCTCTCTCTCGCTCTATCTCTCTCTCTCTCGCTCTATCTATCTATCTATCTATATATATATATATATATATATATATATATATATATATATATATATATATATATATATATATATATATATATATATATATATATATACACACACACACACACATGATAGGAACGTATAAAATACTCAGGGAGATTGACAGAGTGGACATAGACGAAATGTTCACACGGAATAGTAACAGAACGAGGGGACATGGGTGGAAGCTAGAAACTCAGATGAGTCACAGGGATGTTAGGAAGTTTTCTTTTAACGTGAGAGTAGTGGGAAAATGAAATGCACTTAAGGAACAGGTTGTGGAAGCAAATACTATTGATAATTTTAAAACTAAGTATGATAGGGAAATAGGACGGAGTCATTGCTGTAAACAACCAATGCTCGAAAGGCGGGATCCAAGAGTCAATGCTCGATCCTGCAGACACAAATAGGTGAGTGCAGTAATTGGCATATTTTCGGTATAAAAATTCGTAATTTCAAACTACGAATAGGTGCAGACAGCCAGAATTTGGGTCCAAAATATGGCTCGGGTATCGAATTTGGGATGTTTGGGATATTTTGAAAACTGCAGGGGGGTTTGAGCAAAATTTGACCCACCGCCGCTTTCAGTAATTGGCAGATGTTTGGTATAAAAAGTAGAAATTTCAAACTGCGAATAGGTGCAGAGAGCCAGAATTTGGGTCCAAAATATGGCTCAGGTATCGAATTTGGGATGTTTGGGATATTTTGAAAACGGCAGGGGGGTTTGGGCAAAATTTGACCCACCGCCGCATTCATGAGTACACATACATCTGGGATTCGAGAACTGAAGCTAGATCCTCCAGCGACAAATAGGTGAGTATACACACAAGTGATACACAGAGACAGGACACATATACATGAAGGTGTGGCTTTGTTGGTCAAAATAAATAGTACCTTTAAAGAGATCATTATAAGGGATGAGAAAATCAGTAGGAGCCATAAGGAGGATACGAACCTATGCACAGTGTCCTCCAAGGCAGAACCCTAGATGATTGAGTTGATTCCCAGGTTGCAATACTTCTGACCATGTCGTGGTGTAGTGGTCTGTACCGTGTGCCCAGGAGTACACTGCATCCCATTCACCCGGGCTCTGGGAGACTCGAACCGTGACCCCGCGTGTGTGAGGCCGAAGCTCTATCGACAGAGCTGTTGATGGTTATGATGGCTCTTGTAAAGTTATGTTGGAATGTTTAATTCTACGGAAGTGCGGAGGACAATTTACACAGGTTCGATTCTTCTTCGTGGCTCCTACTGATGTTCTCTTTGATACATTACGTTAATGTGATGTTATTGTGCACGTGAAGGACGGGTTCAGTGGTGGTGGCTCTGACCACAGAGCCACAGAGTGGTGGTGGCTGTGACCACAGAGCCACAGTGTGGTGGTGGCTGTGACCACAGAGCCACAGAGTGGTGGTGGCTGTGACCACAGAGCCACAGTGTGGTGGTGGCTCTGACCACAGAGCCACAGAGTGGTGGTGGCTGTGACCACAGAGCCACAGTGTGGTGGTGGCTCTGACCACAGAGCCACAGAGTGGTGGTGGCTGTGACCACAGAGCCACAGTGTGGTGGTGGCTGTGACCACAGAGCCACAGTGTGGTGGTAGCTGTGACCACAGAGCCACAGAGTATTGGTGATTATGAGCACAGAGCCACAGTGGGGTGCTGGCTCTGACTACAGAGTCACAGAAAACAAACAAGAAAACTCAAAAAACGAGCAGAAAATCGATAAATATCAATCTGTTAGTGTAAGGCCGGTCACAGGCCTCAGACCCTGGAAGTGGAGTAGAATACAAACTTCGCAAAAAGAAAATAAAAAAATATCCTGTGTATGTATTCAAGAAATCCGAACTACTTACCAGTCAGCAATCCTCCCCAAGGCATCAGTAAATAACTCCCTCCAGCTGAAGCAACCATCCAATCACCTGTAATTGGCTAGAATGACCGCAACCAGACCTCACCCCAAGCACTCACCTGTTCAATTATGCAGAAGAGGTTGATAGGGGAGCCCGTCTCTACGTGGTACTCGCTGTTGCCCAGGATAAACGCCTCGGGTACGATGACGTTAAGGTTGACGAACTGACTCACGATCCCCGTCCCTGTAGAGATCTGTGGCGAGAAGAGGAGGAAGAGGGGGTGAGAGGCTGCCTGGGTATCACATACAAGACCACATACTCCCTACATACACCCCACATACACCCCACATACACCCCATATACACCCCATATACACCCCATATACTCACCATATACTCTCCTCTCCCACTAACAAATATTAGAGGGAGAAGAGAGGGAGCAATGACGAAAACTAGAAATAAAGGAGGAGGGAGAGAGTGAGAGGGAAGCAAATATATAAAACAGGGGACAAACATGTAGAACAAGCAGTAAGAGACATAGATAAAGATAAACCATTAAGACTGTCACAGAATTCCTGTGTATAGCTTTATCTAGGAGTATCTGCCTCTTTATTTTCCTCCGGCAAATGTTGCGCGCGTAATATCTCCAGTCAACCTTAACATTTTGCCTAAATGGCTTCATCTGTGAGATAAATGGCTACGGACGTTACTTTGCAATAAGGGAATGAGAGTCCTTGCAACACTAATGACAATCAGGGTTATTTCTCATCAGTGGGAGAGGAGCGCAGACATTGGCAATATTCTCCAGGCCAAACTATTCTCAGTTCCCAACCTGAGCTCTGGTCTGTCTGCTGATGATTGAGCAGACTCTGATTATAGCGTTATAATGTGGGTGATGTCACTGCGTCAATCTGACTAGGATTTAATATTTGCAGTGGTATGTAGTTATAATGGTTGTTGGTGGTAGTGGGTGTGGGTATGGTGGTGGGTGGTAGTGGGTGTGGGTATGGTGGTGGGTGGTAGTGGGTGTGGGTGGTAGTGGGCACCTGGGAGTACCCGGATCACAGGTTCGAATCCTCCTCAAGCCTCCAACTGATTTTCTCATTCCGATTATTTTAAAACTATGACGGTATTTAGCTGGAACATTCCTCGTCACACAGCGAGAATGTCACGATCGTTCTACACGATAACATTCAACAATTAAAACATAAAAAAATCAGTACCCAGCCGACAATCGCAGGAAAAACACATAATGCAATATGCCTTTGACGGAGCCGGACGCAAGACGGGAGTCACATCAAAAGGAACTCTGCCAAAAAGTCCAAAACTTCACCTCAGAGGAGTTATGAGGGCAAAATGGGTTTAATGGATGTTGGGGAAGTAGTTTTTATATGAGAGAGTAATCAGGCAGCGCCCGGGTTGGAGGGGGACATAGAGTTATAGTTTGGGGTGGTGGCGGCGGCCGCGCAATACGCACAATAACATATTAAGGGGACCACCTCGACGACAGGCCTCATAACATGCCATCCACACTACCCCGGACATAAACATTCCATTCACTTGGGGTGTATATGGGGTCTCGAACCCTGGACCCCACGCGTGGGGAACACGATTCGAGACCCAAACAGCCCGGGTGAATTGAACAGGTATTATAAATACAACAACAATATAAATCCTTTATAGCATTCTGCCTTGAACTGCAGGTGTATTGTATTGTTACTACAGCTGTATCTTGACCCACACGTGTTTGTAAGAATTGAATTCCAAATTATATATGTCAATGGAATGTAGAATTATCTCATCAACCCACGTCTGTAACCCCCTCATACGGTGCCTGTAAACCCCTCATACGGTGCCTGTAACCCCCTCATACGGTGCCTGTAACCCCCTCATACGGTGCCTGTAACCCCCTCATACGGTGCCTGTAACCCCCTCATACGGTGCCTGTAACCCCCTCATACGGTGCCTGTAACCCCCACATACGGACTACGAAATATTTTATGTCTGCTCCAGACATGATTTTTTTCTCGGGAGAAATATTTAAAATCCGGTTAATGTGAGACAGTGCCACCAGCGGCGCCGTGACCACCACAGTGCCACCAGCGGCGCTGTGACCACCACAGTGCCACCAGCGGCGCCGTGACCACCACAGTGCCACCAGCGGCGCCGTGACCACCACAGTGCCACCAGCGGCGCTGTGACCACCACAGTGCCACCAGCGGCGCCGTGACCACCACAGTGCCACCAGCGGCGCCGTGACCACCACAGTGTCACCAGCGGCGCCGTGACCACCACAGTGCCACCAGCGCCACTACGACCACCACAGTGCCACCAGCGCCACTACGACCACCACAGTGCCACCAGCGCCACTACGACCACCACAGTGCCACCATCGCCACTACGACCATCACAGCATAACGCGTGGCGTGGGAGATACGAGATCCGTTTTAATTTGTGAAAGTGGCGTTTCATCATAGAGTAAATTGCAGTCATAAATTTCCGGGATACGCCATTGGATAATTGATAATCGAAGCTTAAAACAGAAAGCGTTTTGGCTCGATGATATTAAACATTATTGATGGACAACAATGACTATTTTTCCAGTCATGTGTCCAGGAC